AAAACTTGTTTTTCTACCACTCCACAAATTTCTTGTTAACAAACTATAGTTTTGGCAATTCGGTTAGGACATCTACTTTGTGCATGACACAAGTAATTTTTCCAACAATTGTTTACAAACAGATTATTTCACTTATAATTCACTGTATCACAATTCCAGTGGGTCAGAAGTTTACATACAGTCGTGGTCAAAAGTTTTGAGAATGACACAAATACGAATTTTCACAAAGTCTGCTGCCTCAGTGTTGATGATGGCAATTTGCATATACTCCAGAATGTCATGAAGAGTGATCAAATGAATTGCAAAGTCCCTCTTTGACATGAAAATGAACTTAATCCCCAAAAAACATTTCCACTGCATTTCAGCCCTGCCACAAAAGGACCAGCTGCCATCATGTCAGTGATTCTCTCGTTAACACAGGTGAGAATGTTGACGAGGACAAGGCTGGAGATCACTCTGTCATGCTGATTGAGTTAGAATAACAGACTGGAAGCTTTAAAAGGAGGGTGGTGCTTGAAATCATTGTTCTTCCTCTGTTAACCATGGTTACCTGCAAGGAAACACGTGCCATCATCATTGCTTTGCACAAATAGGGCTTTACAGGCAAGCATATTGCTGCTAGTAAGATTGCACCTAAATCAACCATTTATCTGATCATCAAGAACTTCAAGGAGAGAGGTTCAATTGTTGTGAAGAAGGCATCATGGCGCCCAAGAAAGTCCAGCAAGCGCCAGGACTGTCTCCTAAAGTGGATTCAGCTGCGGGATCTGGGCACCACCAGTGCAGAGCTAGCTCAGGAATGGCAGCAGGCAGGTGTGAGTGCATCTGCACGCACAGTGAGGCGAAGACTTTTGGAGGATGGCCTGGTGTCAAGAAGGGCAGCAAAGAAGCCACTTCTCTCCAGGAAAAACATCAGGGACAGACTGATATTCTGCAAAAGGTACAGGGATTGGACTGCTGAGGACTGGGGTAAAGTCATTTTCTCTGATGAATCCCCTTTCCGATTGTTTGGGGCCATCTGGAAAACACCTTGTCCGGAGAAGACAAGGTGAGCGCTACCATCAGTCCTGTGTCATGCCAACAGTAAAGCATCCTGAGACCATTCATGTGTGGGGTTGCTTCTCAGCCAAGGGAGTGGGTTCACTCACAATTTTGCCTAAGAACACAGCCATGAATAAAGAATGGTACCAACACATCCTCCGAGAGCAACTTCTCCCAACCATCCAAGAACAGTTTGGTGATAACCAATGTCTTTTCCAGCCTGATGGAGCACCTTGCCATAAGGCAAAAGTGATGACTAAGTGGCTCGGGGAACAAAACATCGAAATTTTGGGACCATGGCCAGGAAACTCCCCAGACCTTAATCCCATTGAGAACTTGTGGTCGATCCTCAAGAGGCGGGTGGACAAACAAAAACCCACAAATTCTGACAAACTCCAAGCATTGGTTATGCAAGAATGGGCTGCCATCAGTCAGGATGTGGCCCAGAAGTTAATTGACAGCATGCCAGGGTGGATTGCAGAGGTCTTGAAAAAGAAGGATCAACACTGCAAATATTGACTCTTTGCATAAACTTAATGTAATTTTCAATAAAAGCCTTTGACGCTTGTGGAATGCTTGTAATTATACTTCAGTATACCATAGTAACATCTGATAAAAATATATCATAACACTGAAGCAGCGAACTTTGTGAAGACCAATACTTGTGTCATTCTCAAAACTTTTGACCACGACTACACTAAGTTGACTGTGCCGTTAAACAGCTTGGAAAATTCTAGAAAATGATGTCATGGCTTTAGAAGCTTCTGATAGGCTAATTGACATCATTTGAATCAATTGGATGTGTACCTGTGGATGTATTTCAAGGCCTACCTTCAAACTCAGTGCCTCTTTTCTTGACATCATGGGAAAATCTAAAGAAATCAGCCAAGACCTCCACAATGTGTAGACCTCCACAAGTCTGGTTCATCCTTGGGAGCAATTTCCAAACGCCTGAAGGTACCACGTTCATCTGTACAAACAATAGTACGCAAGTATAAACATCATGGGACCACGCAGCCATCATACCACTCAGGAAGGAGATGCGTTCTGTCTTCTAGAGATGAATGTACTTTGGTGCGAAAAGTGCAAATCAATCCCAGAACAACAGCAAAGGACCTTGTGAAGATGCTGGAGGAAACAGGTACAAAAGTATCTATATCCACAGTAAAACGAGTCCTGTATCGACACAACCTGAAAGGCCGCTCAGCAAGGAAGAAGCCACTGCTCCAAAACCGCCATAAAAAAGCCAGACTACGGTTTGCAACTGCACATGGGGGCAAAGATCATACTTTTTGGAGAAATGTCCTCTGGTCTGATGAAACAAAAATAGAACTGTTTGGGCATAATGACCATTGTTATGTTTGGAGGAAAAATGGAGTGGCTTGCAAGCCGAAGAACACCATCCCAACCGTGAAGCACGGGGGTGGCAGCATCATGCTGTGGGGTTGCTTTGCTGCAGGAGGGACTGGTGCACTTCACATAATAGATGGCATCATGAGGAAGGAAAATTAGGCGGATATATTGAAGCAACATCTCAAGACATCAGTCAGGAATTTAAAGCTTGGTCGCAAATGGGTCTTCCAAATGGACAATGACCCCAAGCATACTTCCAAAGTTGTGGCAAAATGGCTTAAGGACAACAAAGTCAAGGTATTGGAGTGGCCATCACAAAGCCCTGACCTCAATCCTATAGAAAATGTTTGGGCAGAACTGAAAAAGCGTGTGCGAGCAAGGAGGCCTACAAACCTGACTCAGTTACACCAGCTCTGTCAGGAGGAATGGGCCAAAATTCACCCAACTTATTGTGGGAAGCTTGTGGAAGGCTACCCGAACGTTTGACCCAAGTTAAATAATTTAAAGGCAATGCTACCAAATACTAATTGAGTGTATGCAAACTTCTGACCCACTGGGAATGTGATGAAATAAATAAAAGCTGAAATAAATAATTCTCTCTACTATTATTCTGACATTTCACATTCTTAAAATAAAGTGGTGATCCTAACTGACCTAAAACAGGGAATTTTTACTAGGATTAAATGTCAGGAATTGTGAAACTGAGTTTAAATGTATTTGGCTAAGGTGTATGTAAACTTCTGACTTCAACTTTATCTATTTCATTTACTTTGGCAATGTGAACATATGTTTCCCATGCCAATAAAGCCCACTGAGTTGTATTAGCCCTATGGGGAAAGGAGAAGCTAGATGAATGGTCCCACAGAGAATAGGAGAGAATGAATGCAGTAAAGAGATGGGAGACCTGGAAAGGAGATGGCTGAGTGAGGGATGGAAATAGAAGGAGAAAGACTGAGGGAGAGTCTCAGAGGTGGAAGGGGGAGCGTGGGACTGTGAAAGTTGGCTGGTGTGAAACCCTGCCAACCCATAATCCTCACCTTGTGACTACTGCCTTAGACACTGCTGCCGAGGTCTCCCCCACCCTCTCCCCTCTCTCTCCCCACTGCCCTCTCCCCACTGCCCTCTCCCCCCACCCTCCAACCCCTCTCTCTCCCCACTGCCCTCTCCCCCCACCCTCCAACCCATCTCTCTCCCCCACCCTCCAACCCCTCTCTCTCCCCACTGCCCTCTCCCCCCACCCTCCAACCCATCTCTCTCCCCACTGCCCTCTCCCCACTGCCCTCTCCCCCCACCCTCCAACCCCTCTCTCTCCCCACTGCCCTCTCCCCCCCACCCTCCAACCCCTCTCTCTCCCCACTGCCCTCTCCCCCCACCCTCCAACCCATCTCTCTCCCCCCCCACCCTCCAACCCCTCTCTCTCCCCACTGCCCTCTCCCCCCACCCTCCAACCCATCTCTCTCCCCCCCACCCTCCAACCCATCTCTCTCCCCACTGCCCTCTCCCCTCTCCCCCCACCCTCCAACCCCTCTCTCTCCCCTCTCCCCCACCCTCCAACCCATCTCTCTCCCCCCCACCCTCCAACCCATCTCTCTCCCCCCACCCTCCAACCCATCTCTCTCCCCCCCACCCTCCAACCCCTCTCTCTCCCCACTGCCCTCTCCCCTCTCCCCCCACCCTCCAACCCCTCTCTCCTCCCCTCTCCCCTCTCCCCCCACCCTCCAACCCCTCTCTCTCCCCCTCTCCCCCCACCCTCCAACCCTCTCTCCTCCCCACTGCCCTCTCCCCTCTCCCCCCACCCTCCAACCCCTCTCTCTCCCCCACTGGCCCTCATCCCCTCTCCCCCCACCCTCCAACCCCTCTCTCTCCCCACTGCCCTCTCCCCTCTCCCCCCACCCTCCAACCCCTCTCTCTCCCCCACTGCCCTCTCCCCCCACCCTCCAACCCATCTCTCTCCCCACTGTCCTCTCCCCTCTCCCCCCACCCTCCAACCCCTCTCTCTCCCCACTGCCCTCTCCCCCCACCCTCCAACCCATCTCTCTCCCCACTGTCCTCTACCCTCACCATCCACCCCCTCTCTCCTCACCCTCCACCCCCTCCCCTCCCCTCCCCTCCCCTGGACTCGGTCACGTAGTCTGTGTGAGTACACAGCGGTAGCTACTAGCCAGTTTGGTGGCTGGTTTCAGCCGGTTAGAGGTGAGGGCAGGCCTTACATGATTTGTGAGAGGCTCTCTTGAAGCCAAGAGCTCATGGGTGTCTGTCTGTCTTCATTATCAGGCTGTGTGTGTGGCTGGAAACAGAGTAATAAATAATGGGTCATTATAACGCCTTAGTACAAAGCTGATAATGGCTCTGATAATAGGTTTAATAGCCTCAACGTGTGGAGACATATTTCTGCTGTAATGAGTTTTACCATTTTCTCCAACCGGTGCTTTTAGATTTGTCTAACTAGTCTTGCTCTTTAAGAACTTCAATGGTGCCTTGCTAAAGGGTGACTGTGTTGTCTTGTCTATTTGAGTTTACCTAACTACATTTTTCCCCCTCCCTCTCTCCTCTTCTCTCCTGTCTCCCTCCCCCTCTCCTTCTCTCTCTCTCTCCATTCTCGGCAGTGTTTCTGTGTTGATTTGGACCATACATATATGGCGTATGTGAGCGTCAGTGGAGACTTCTGCCAGGCACAGCACCTCGCCTTCGTGGACAAGTGAATCGTCCGCCCCCCTCGGGACTACGCTACCCAGAAGCCCCCCTGAAGCCAGCACACTGGGAACCCCTGTCTCCTCCAACAGTCCCCTAGGATATCGCGTAGTCCAAGGCCAGATTGCCCAGCTCTGTCCCCTGAGCGGCCAATAAGGAAACTGCCTAGTTCTCTTCTACTTGCTGCTTTCTCTCCCAGAAGCCAATCACATACCACTCTCCTGAATGGGGTAAAATCTGAATGTCCGATTGGATGACTGGTGGATAGTCTCTGCATACATTTTTTTGTTTGTTTATTTTTTGTAAAATATTTTTTCCATCCCCCTGTGGAGTCTTGTGGACTAGATCATCCAGTTTTTTGTTACCCCTCTTTTTATGTAAACCTTCCTGTAGCTATCCACCTGTGTTACCCACATCCTCCTCCACCTCTTCCCTTCGTTGACATCTTTTTATTGTTTTTTTTTAACCTACAGAATTCTACTACAAGTCCTTGCTGACATTAGAGCCAAAAGTAGTCATCCTTTTTGTACCTGATATTCTAAGTATTTCATTGTAATTGTTTTCAAAGCCGTCTCGCCAACATGAACCGCCCTGCTGCAGTGGAGATTACCTACGAGGGCATGAGGTTCCTCATCACACACAACCCCACCAACGCCACGCTCAACAAGTTCACTGAGGTGAGGCCGCCACGCTGTGTGTGCGTGTATAACCAATTCAACACTCGAGTTCACTGTGGAGAAACTTGCACATACAGTACCAGTCAAAGGTTTGGACACACCTACTCGTTCAAGGGTTTTTCCTTTGTTTTACTATTTTCTAAGTTGTAGAATAATAGTGAAGACATCAAAACTATGAAATAACACACATGGAATCATGTAGTAACCAAAAAAGTGTCAAACAAATCAAAATATATTTTTGATTCTTCAAAGTAGCCACCCCTTTGCCTTGATGATAGCTTTGCATTCTCTCAACCAGCTTCACCTGGAATGCTTTTCCAACAGTCTTGAAGGAGTTCCCACATATGCTGAGCACTTGTTGGCTGCTTTTCCTTCACTCTGCGGTCCAACTCATTCCAAACCATCTCAATTGGGTTGAGGTCGGGTGATTGTGGAGGCCAGGTCATCTGATGCAGCACTCCATCACTCTCCTTCTTAGCCAAATAGCCCTTACACAGCATGGAGGTGTGTTTTGGGTCATTGTCCTGTTGAAAAACAAATGATAGTCCCACTAAGCACAAACCAGATGGGATGGCGTATCGCTGCAGAATGCTGTGGTAGCCATGCTGGTTAAGTGTGCCTTGAATTCTAAATAAATCACACAGTGTCACCAGCAAAGCACCCCACACACCATAACACCTCCTCCTCCATTCTTTACGGTGGGAACTACACATGCGGAGATCATCTTTTCACCTACTCTGCGTCTCACAAAGACACGGCGGTTGGAACCAAAAATCTCAAATTTAGACTCATCAGACCAAAGGACAGATTTTCACCAGTCTAATGTCCATTGCTCGTGTTCCTTGGCCCAAGCAAGTCTCTTCTTATTGGTGTCCTTTAGTAGTGGTTTCTTTGCAGCAATTCGACCATGAAGGCCTGATTCACGCAGTCTCCTCTGAACAGTTGATGTTGAGATGTGTCTGTTGCTTGAACTCTGAGGTGCAGTTCATTGCCGATTTCTGAGGCTGGTAACTCTAATGTAACTCTGGGTCTTCCTTTCCTGTGGCGGTCCTCAAGAGAGCCAGTTTCATCATAGCACTTGATGGTTTTTGCGACTGCACTTGCAGAAACTTTCAAAGTTCTTGAAATTTTCTGGGTTGACTGACCTTCATGACTTAAAGAAATGATGTTGTTCCTCTTTCATTATTTGAGCTGTTCTTGCCATAATATGGATATGTCCTGTATACCACCACTGCCTTGTCACAACACAACGGATTGGTTAAAAATTAACTTTTAACAAGGCACACCTGTCAATTTAAATTCATTCTAGATGACTACCTCATGAAGCTGGTTGAGAGAATGCCAAGAGTGTGCAAAGTTGTGATCAAGGCAAAGGGTGGCTACTTTGAAGAATCTCAAATATAAAATATATTTTGATTTGTTTAACACTTTATTTGGTTACTACATGATTCCATATGTGTTATTTCATAGTTTTGATGTCTTCACTATCATTCTACAATGTAGAAAAAAATTAAGAAAAACCCTGTACATCTGATTACATGCATCAATAACCTCACCAATGTAGCCTATAACAAACTCACCTCAACCTACAATTAAACACATATTTTAGAGTACAAAATTGACCCTCTCTCCATCCCTCTCTCCCTACCCCTCTCTCTCCCCTACCTCTTGCTCTCTTTCTCTCTATCTCTCCTACTTCTTGCTCTCTTTCTCTCTCTCTCCCCCACCTCTCTTGCTATCTTTCTCTCTCTCCCCCTACCTCTTGCTATCTTTCTCTCTCTCTCTCCTACCTCTTGCTATCTTTCTCTCTCTCCCCCCTACCTCTTGCTATCTTTCTCTCTCTCCCCCCCCACCTCTCTCGCTATCTTTCTCTCTCTCCCCCCCACCTCTCTCGCTATCTTTCTCTCTCTCCTCTCCCCCACCTCTCTTGCTATCTTTCTCTCTATCCCCCTACCTCTTGCTCTCTTTCTCTCTCTCTCTCTCTCCTACCTCTTGCTATCGTTCTCTCTCTCCCCCTACCTCTTGCTATCTCTCTCTCTCTCCCCCACCTCTCTCGCTATCTTTCTCTCTCTCCCCCCCCCACCTCTCTCGCTATCTTTCTCTCTCTCTCCCCCACCTCTCTTGCTATCTTTATCTCTCTCCCCCTACCTCTTGCTCTCTTTCTCTCTCTCTCTCTCTCCTACCTCTTGCTATCTTTCTCTCTCTCCCCCTACCTCTTGCTATCTCTCTCTCTCTCTCTCTCTCTCTCCTACCTCTTGCTACCTTTCTCTCTCTCCCCCCTCACCTCTCTTGCTATCTTTCTCTCTCTCTCTCCCCCTACCTCTTGCTATCTTTCTCTCTCTCTCTCCCCCTACCTCTTGCTATCTTTCTCTCTCTCTCTCCTACCGCTTGCCATCTTTCTCTCTCTCTCTCCCCCCACCTCTCTTGCTATCTCTCTTTGTCGCTATCTTCCTATCTCAGGAGCTGAAGAAGTTTGAGGTGAACACGCTGGTGAGAGTGTGTGACGCCACCTACGACAAGGTCCCAGTGGAGAAGGAGGGAATCCAAGTTGTGGTAAGGATAACAAACGCACACACTCCCAGAGAGGAGAGCAGTCAGAATTTCTACTGAACCAAAACAGGATCCCTTTGTTTCCTTCCGAGGAATTGAGGGTAGTTAGATTCACTTTGCCCCTCTCTGGAGAACTTCTGTTAGTCCGTCTGTTCCACTGTCCTCAACTGTCTGCCTCCCGCTGTGTGCTGAGCTAATGGGTGGAGAATTGGAAGGAATCTCTGGCTCAGATCCAGATGAATGGTGTTCCACCCAGGCCTTCTTGCTCTCTCTGTTGCACTCGTATGTGCACTGTATTGTCTTTCTCACAGCTAAGGCTAGTATTCTTAAAATATTTCTCTACAACATTCTTATTTTTTTCACTTGTCTCACAGGTGATTCAGGAAAACCAGAGACACTTTGGGATAGGAAATGTCTTATCCCCTCTCCTTGATACAGTTTTAATTAAGTGATCACCACCCCTCATCCTGGAGTGTTCCTCTCCCCATTATGCCTGTCACTCTCCAATGTATTGGATTAAATGTTATGCAGACTGTAATCACAATCCTGTTTCATATTGGTTGAGCACCGAGACCGGAAAAGCCATGCGTAGGGTTGCACAATTATGGTAACTTTCCAAACATTTTAGAGACATCCTGATTGGAAAGTTCCCAGAAACATGAGGGAATTGGCAGAAAATATGGGAATCGTCCAACCAGGATTTTTGGGAAAGATAGCAGAATTTTCAAAGCATGGCCAAACGCACGGCTGATTGGCAAACTACAGTGAAAAGCTATTAGTAACAAAACCCTTTCTGTCTGTTCCGGTCTTTGTCACTCTTCAAAAATATGAAACAGGATCTGTGATTGTTGCCTACATAAAACTGGCCCATGGTGTCAAAGGACAGTCACAGACTGGGAGAGAGAAGGCTGCAACAGGGAGAGGATGGTGTGGGAGAGAGAAGGCTGCAACAGGGAGAGGATGATGTGGGAGAGAGAAGGCTGCAACAGGGAGAGGATGATGTGGGAGAGAGAAGGCTGCAACAGGGAGAGGATGATGTGGGAGAGAGAAGGCTGCAACAGGGAGAGGATGATGTGGGAGAGAGAAGGCTGCAACAGGGAGAGGATGGTGTGGGAGAGAGAAGGCTGCAACAGGGAGAGGATGGTGTGGGAGAGAGAAGGCTGCAACAGGGAGAGGATGGTGTGGGAGAGAGAAGTGCTGCAACAGGAGAGGATGATGTGGGAGAGAGAAGGCTTGCAACAGGGAGAGGATGATGTGGGAGAGAGAAGGCTGCAACAGGGAGAGGATGATGTGGGAGAGAGAAGGCTGCAACAGGGAGAGGATGGTGTGGGAGAGAGAAGGCTGCAACAGGGAGAGGATGATGTGGGAGAGAGAAGGCTGCAACAGGGAGAGGATGATGTGGGAGAGAGAAGGCTGCAACAGGGAGAGGATGATGTGGGAGAGAGAAGGCTGCAACAGGGAGAGGATGATGTGGGAGAGAGAAGGCTGCAACAGGGAGAGGATGATGTGGGAGAGAGAAGGCTGCAACAGGGAGAGGATGGTGTGGGAGAGAGAAGGCTGCAACAGGGAGAGGATGATGTGGGAGAGAGAAGGCTGCAACAGGGAGAGGATGATGTGGGAGAGAGAAGGCTGCAACAGGGAGAGGATGATGTGGGAGAGAGAAGGCTGCAACAGGGAGAGGATGATGTGGGAGAGAGAAGGCTGCAACAGGGAGAGGATGATGTGGGAGAGAGAAGGCTGCAACAGGGAGAGGATGGTGTGGGAGAGTGAGAGATGTGCTGAGACTGAGTCAGCACAAGTGCAGAGGCTCAGATGGTCAGGCTGTCTGCCAGGACACACTCACACACACACACACACACAGTACTTCAGCATATCAAGCTTCCCAACTTAGACACACATGATACAGCTGCTCTGCTCCAATCAGGCTTTGAGTCCTGTACTGCCTTTTGAGCATTGAGCACTGGTTAATCCTCAAGTCTGTTGACGCACCCGTGCTTCAATCTAAGTAACATTTTAAAAATCCCCATCAAAATCCATCAGTTTAAGCTAGAGATATCTGTTTTTAGCATGGGCTGCGTCTCAATCCACCGCATCCGCCTATGGCTGGCTTCCGCATCTGCTGTGGAAGGTGGCCGAGTTACAGCAGTGTTTGTCAGACCATGAGACTTCCCGAAAATCGGCCTTCTCACGACAACGTCTGTAGCATCTGAACAGTTTGGCCTACAAACTATTATGGAAAGGGGAGACTCACGAACACGATGGTGTTCACCGTATTTGCTCTACGACCCCCACAAGTGTCACGAGACTCGTCTGAAGGTAGCCCATTGATAGAGGAATTATGATTATGACTAAAATTGTTCCACCCCAATACTGATGATGACTGTGTGAACTGTGTTAGGGTTATCATTATAAACCCACTAACAGAGGGGGTGAGTTAGAAACTGCTGAGACAGACATTCCAGGAGAAAGGAGACTTAGAAGATGTCCTATTTAAACATTCTATACTGTGGAAATGTACAGGCCGCCTAAAGGGGGGCGGAGCAAAGTTCCTTTGTGTAAAGGCATATATAAAGGCTGTATATGAAATACTCGTGACACCCATACCAACAAATGGCAACAAAAATAAGGGGTTAAATATGCGTACAAAATATATATATTTCCTTAGCGTTCTTATATCTCCTAGACATAAGACACACTTCAAAACCTTATTCCATATTATTACTTTTTTGACTGTCTTTGCCATTTTTTACGTTTATTCAATATGTTTCTGTGGGCTATAGTAGTAAAGGCCGAATTCAATATTTTATCAAATAGTTTAAATATATTTGTTTATACCTAAAGGGTATCAAATAGCTAAATGATCTGTGGTAAGACCATCTTTAAAAACATTATGTTAGCTTAGTACCCCCCCCTAGCCCTTAAATGAACCCCCATCCCCAGCCCTTGGTTTGGTCCATGTTAGCCCTTAAATGAACCCCCATCCCCAGCCCTTGGTTTGGTCCATGTTAGCCCTTAAATGAACCCCCATCCCCAGCCCTTGGTTTGGTCCATGTTGATGTTTTTGTCCCTCTTCCGCCGTAGGACTGGCCCTTTGATGATGGCGCCCCGCCCCCCACCCAGATAGTGGATGACTGGCTGAACCTGCTGAAGACAAAGTTCAGAAACGAGCCTGGCTGCTGTATCGCCGTGCACTGTGTGGCGGGGCTGGGCCGGTGAGTGTGTTAACCTGTGTGTGTGTGTATATGTGTGTATATATATATATATGTGTGTGTATATATATGTATATGTGTGTGTGTGTGTGTAAAGTGGGACATTTGATATGAATGAGTGTATGTGGGCTTGATTGTGTCGCGTGTCAACGACTGAAGCCTGTTCCAATGTTCCATGCTAAGCCTGTTAGCAAGTTAGCGTATGTTTTTATCCTCTTATCAATCTCTCCCTATCTATTAGCCTGCTAGCATTAGCCTGGTGCTTCTGTGGTTCTACCGGCTATTCTCATCCCCTCACTTTATAGCTAGCTTCTCTGCTGTTAGCGCCACTGTCTCTGTTAGGCTATCCAGCTAGTATTTTTCTCCAGAGTGTGCGCTGGACTTCTCATCCTCTCTGTTCAGTTTATTTCCTGTTAGTGTTGGCTTCTCTTTGTCTCTCTGTCATACTTCGTCTGGTCCTTCAGGGTATGCTCTGGACTCCTCATCCTCTCTCTCTAGCTTCTGTCCGGTTAGGTTTAGCCTCTCTCGTTCTCGCTCCCTGTTAGCCTGGTTCTCCAGGGTGTGCTGCTGTACACCATTTAGATTTCCCGGCCCTCAAGTTGGCCCCATAGAGCACGTGTCACTCATTCCACGGAGGGCTGAGTGTCTGCGGGTTTTCACTCCTCCCTTGTACTTGATTGATGAATTAAGGTCACTAATTAGTAAAGAACTCTTCTCACCTGGTTGTCTAGGGCTTAGCAAAAAAACAGAAGACACTAGGCCCTCCATGGAATGAGTAACACCCCCACACTACTCACGCCTGTCCAGGGTTATAGCCTTCATTGATTCAGCGCATCGCTTAGACCAGTGTTTCCCTCCTCCAGTACCCCAACAGCCCAACTCCAGTCCTCCAGTACACACAACAGTACACATTTTAGTTGTAGCCCCAGACAAGCACACCAGATGCAACTCACCTTAGGGCTTGATGATTAGTTGACAAGTTGAATCAGGTGTGCTTGTTTCCTTGTGGGGACCGTCGAAATGTCCCCACTTGTCCAAATGATCCTTGTTTTACTATCCTTGTGAGGACTTCTGGTTCCCACATGGATAGTAAAACCACACACACACACACACACATTGCTGTGGGCTCCCTAAGCAGTGGTGGTCAGACAGACCTGTTTTTCTGCATTCATCTCCTGGTGCTGTGTTTACTGCAGTCCTCAGGGCCGGCAGCATTCTGATGGTCTAAATCAGACCAGCCAGCCACAGCCTTTAGAGACTCACAGCGTGGGAGGAGGAGCTAGTGGTGGTTGTTTTTCGCTCTCACACTCTGTTACGCCTTCTCACTTTCTATCTCGTCTCTGCCAGGGTTTCCGTTAGCCGGTAATTGCCGGCTTTCGGCCAATACATTAAAAGCCGATAAATAAAGTTGTTGCCGGCCAAATTAACTGGGAGAAAATACAATCCCGTTGCTAAATAATGCTTTTTATTAATTGATGGAAATATCAGTCGATGTAAATGCATTTGACCATCATGCTTATCGGTCTAGAGGTTAATTAGCAAAAAAAAAATATATTTCCGTTAATCGTCATGTTCCTTATTTATCATACGCGCATAGCATATAGCACTTACTTTGAGCGGAACATCTTGTCAGACAGCGCTGGTGCTACTGCTGCTTTTATAAGCCCAGTCATTGCGCATTCATTCTAAATGCAATTGTGTGTTAACGGTTGATGGCCACAATGTGAAAAGAGCTACTATTTTTATTTCTCAACTGGTAATTGAAGTGCGCATCCGATTCGACTATCAGCACATCACCCACCACTTTGCAATGTGAGCTGGAGGTAGTATGCATTTTGAAAACATATACTTAATTGTTTGAATGTTAAACCTGAACGTTTTACTACATATTATTAGACATGTCTTGGCTTGCGTCAAGGTAGTGTATGCAAAATCCGTCCATAGAAACGGAAAGGCAATTATTTTACAACTTCCTCATATGCCATTGAAACCAAGTTAATTGCTATTGGTTTTCATATCAACTTTCTTTCCTTGTCCAGAAGTCAAAGGCACAATCCTAGTCATATTAACCAATTCTAGTTGTTGCATCTTTTAGATTTCTAACTGAGATTTTAATCTCTGTTACATATGGAACTGCTCGCTTCAGGTGCGCTGTTTAGAATGGTGTATTCCCGCAATTTGTTTGAAAATGACATTTTATTGGCTGATCATTACAGGAGTTGCATGTTCTGTTAAGCTAAATTACCATAATCTAAATGTGATTTCTGTCATTCTGTGCACTGTGGGTGGAAGCCCTAATGGTTTGTCATTCTGTGCACTGTGGGTGGAAGCCCTAATGGTTTGTCATTCTGTGCACCGTGGGTGGAAGCCCTAATGGTTTGTCATTCTGTGCACCGTGGGTGGAAGCCCTAATGGTTTGTCATTCTGCGCACCGTGGGTGGAAGCCCTAATGGTTTGTCATTCTGCGCACCGTGGGTGGAAGCCCTAATGGTTTGTCATTCTGCGCACCGTGGGTGGAAGCCCTAATGGTTTGTCATTCTGTGCACTGTGGGTGGAAGCCCTAATGGTTTGTCATTCTGCGCACCGTGGGTGGAAGCCCTAATGGTTTGTCATTCTGTGCACTGTGGGTGGAAGCCCTAATGGTTTGTCATTCTGCGCACCGTGGGTGGAAGCCCTAATGGTTTGTCATTCTGCGCACCGTGGGTGGAAGCCCTAATGGTTTGTCATTCTGTGCACTGTGGGTGGAAGCCCTAATGGTTTGTCATTCTGTGCACTGTGGGTGGAAGCCCTAATGGTTTGTCATTCTGCGCACCGTGGGTGGAAGCCCTAATGGTTTGTCATTCTGCGCACCGTGGGTGGAAGCCCTAATGGTTTGTCATTCTGTGCACTGTGGGTGGAAGCCCTAATGGTTTGTCATTCTGTGCACTGTGGGTGGAAGCCCTAATGGTTTGTCATTCTGCGCACCGTGGGTGGAAGCCCTAATGGTTTGTCATTCTGCGCACCGTGGGTGGAAGCCCTAATGGTTTGTCATTCTGTGCACTGTGGGTGGAAGCCCTAATGGTTTGTCATTCTGTGCACCGTGGGTGGAAGCCCTAATGGTTTGTCATTCTGCGCACCGTGGGTGGAAGGTCTAATGGTTTGTCATTCTGCGCACCGTGGGTGGAAGCCCTAATGGTTTGTCATTCTGTGCACTGTGGGTGGAAGCCCTAATGGTTTGTCATTCTGCACACCGTGGGTGGAAGCCCTAATGGTTTGTCATTCTACGCACCGTGGGTGGAAGCCCTAATGGTTTGTCATTCTGCGCACCGTGGGTGGAAGCCCTAATGGTTTTATGCACCCAATGCAAATGGGTCCTCATTTCTCAAATGGCCGGTAAATTAAAATCTTCCCGGTCACATTGTCCAGCTCCACATTTTCCTAACGGAAACCCTGGCAAGCACAAAAGGGTGCTCATTCTGTCAGTCTCTTTCTCATATTCCCTCTATCGCTCTCCCACTTCTCTCCTCCCCCTCTTCTCTCTGAAAACCCACAAAAGAATGCTCTGTCAGCTTTGAGTTTTGACATTCCGGGCTGTCTGTCTGGGGAATTTTAAAGTTTTGTGGTGCATTTTTTTTCTTCTTGAAAAGTTTGCTTACAGTAACACACTTATCACACCAATTGTGTGTGGGCCAGGTTGTGAACGTGATGCCCCAGCTCATTTGCAGTGAAACCAGGCCACCCCCCTATGGGTTTCCCAGGCCAATGTCTCAGCTTTACAGTACACCCCCACCCTGCTACCCACATAACCTTGACACAGCATGCTTTACACTACATCCCCAGGCTAGTATATGTCGCTCGCGTTCTCTCATTTATTTATTTATATATATATATTGTGTCTCTGTGCTGTAGAGCTCCAGTCCTGGTGGCCTTAGCGCTGATTGAAACTGGGATGAAGTATGAGGATGCGGTGCAGTTCATACGACAGTAAGTACCACTAACTTCCACACCAGTGGAGGCTGGTAAGGGAGGTGGGGGGGGGGGGGGGGGGGGGCTTGTATGGTATCAAACACGTGTTTTGATACTGTTCCATTCCAGCCGTTACTATGAGCCTGTCCTCCGATTTTAAAAGTGCCATCAGCCACCACTGTTCCACACAGGGCACGAAGCCCAAGAACCAATGTTTCTGTGCAGTGGAACCTGTAGTCATGTATTCTCTTCATTGGTTTGTTAGAATATGCCCAGGGCACATATTGATGTTGTTGCAGTTGTGCTGCATGGTCTCTTGTGACCATGAGACCACTTTTTTTTATTTCTCTCACCTCCCTCCCCTCAGGAAGAGACGTGGAGCGTTCAACTCCAAGCAGCTTCTTTACCTGGAGAAATACAGACCCAAGATGCGTCTGCGGTTCAAGGATGCCAACGGCCCCAACTGTTGTGTCCAGTAAAATGTCTGTGTGTGCGGCATCTCATCAAGAACACAGCAGCTAGTGGGAACAACATTATTCCAACCACGGGGAGAGAAAATGAGAGAGAGCTGTCAGTAATTATTGTGATTTGTTAACACTGAGACATGGCTAGTTGATTACAGAATCGATGAATCAACGAGCGAATGATTACATTTGAATTAATGCAAATCTAGGGGTCCAACCAGCCGAACCAATGAACAAGAAGGTCAACGCACACAGATATAGGCCCGCCTCCAAGATACCAGGGTCCAATCATTTTTTTTTCCCCAGCGTTGAATCATGGGATAGCTCTTCCTCTTATATATATATATATTTTTTTTTTTACACATGAAAGTTTAACAATGGTGAGAAAAAAATCAACAAATGTTAAAATGGTATCAATATTGATGATTTGTTTATTTTTCTATTATTAATTATATGAATTATGGATTTGCCCAGGGTTATGTACCTTTTTTTAGTGTTTGTAAACCCTTCAGCACATTAGAAGAAAAACAAAAAATTACTGTCCATTTGGCTATTGATGTATTTTTGTACAACACAAAAAGTTCCACTGAAAATGCAGTAATGTTTTTCTCTCCACCCCACTTGCTTGGATTCACTTTTTAATTACGGGGTTGGCTGGGTTTTAAATATGTCCGCTGTATTTATTCACTGGCTATAACTAGCAAGGCAGTCTGGAGTTGAGTTGGGGCAAGGACACTTTTCTTTTTTTTCTTTTCTTCTTTTTTTATAATTTAAAAAAAATCTTGCGGGAGTGCAATATTCAGTCCACCTCGGAAAAGCCCCCAAACCCCTTATGACCATCTCACTCACTCACACACACACACACACACACACAAACAAACAGAGCCAGTTTCACAGGAAGGCACTTGGCTAGTCTTACTGTAGGTACTTTTTTCCATTCACCAAGGCTGCTTACTGGGTTTACAATAGGACTTCCCTACAATAACTGCACACACACACAATGATCTCAACTGTTAATCCCTGGTCTCACTCTGAAGGAAAAGAGGTGGAAAAGAAAGCAAATGGTCTGTTTTTTATCATCGTACCCATTTTGAAGACATCCTCAATTCCTATTGGTTTTAAAATAAATAAAGAAATGGAAATAAGATTAACCTTGTATGATGTTATTTCATGTGATTATTTTCTCACCTTTTCCATGTTTTAGAGTATTTGAAACGAGCGCCTATTTATAATTGTTTTGGTCTACTTGTCATTCCCGCAGAATGTTTTGTGACATGAGGAATTGCTGAGTCACACGTAATGTTATCATGGCAAATATATCAATCATCTATTTGATTTGGATTGTGTCTCATCACCAGGCAAGCTCTATCCTGGAAGAGCGGCAGGTAACCTAGCGGTTAAGAGCATTGGGCCAGTAACCGAAAGGTCACTGGTTCAAATCCCTGAAATCTGTGCCCTTGAGCAAGGTACTTAACCCTAATTGCTCCTGTAAGTCGCTGTGGATAAGAGCGTCTGCTAAATGACTCAAATGTAACCCACAAGTCAAAAGGAAAAGAGAACACAAGACAAACACTTGGAGGCCAGAGCTTGAGGCTAATGCATGGGGTGTAAACAGCTGGGGCCTCTTACCAACTGTGCGTACATTTCTTAAAAAATTCTGGCGTGTGTGGAGATTCTAGGATTTGCGTGCGCAACAAATTATTGGGATTTATCAAACTGTCTCATGCAAAATATGCATGTTTTCATTCACAGAATACTATAACCCCTCCTGGAAAAACCCTGCATTCACATTTTATGGTAACCACAATGCCCTAATTTGCTGTATGTTTTGCAGATGTTGGAACTGGGCCATGATAGTTGCTAAAACAAAGCGCAATGGCAAATGATCACATTTCTGCTGAGGTGTGGGCAGAATGTTTTAATCTTTTGCAGTAACTTTCTTTTAACACAATGCATGCCATTGCAAACACTGGCTGTGCATTCTGCAAGATTGATGTTCTATTGAACAATTTAAAAGTAGGGGAGAGCCAGGACTAAAGTGACACTGGGCGATAGTAATACACCCATTTTCACAAAAGCGAGTGAGTGCATACATAATTGTATTTTTTATACTGGCCCCTCGTGGGAATCGAACCCACAACCCTGGCGTAGCAAACGCCATGCTCTACCAACTGAGCTACATCCCTGCCGGCCATTCCCTACCCTACCCTACCCTACCCTGGACGACGCTGAGCCAATTGTGCGCCGCCCCATGGGTCTCCCGGTCGCGGAAGGCTACGACAGAGCCTGGATTTGAACCAGGATCTCTAGTGGCACAGCTAGCACTGCGATGCAGTGCCTTAGACCACTTCGCCACTCGTGAACCACTGATTTAAGGCTTTTTTATCTCTCTCAGATATAGGGCAGACCATAGACTGTACAACATATGGGCGAAGCCATCGATGACATCACCCCATTGTTTCCTATGAGAATGCTCAGTGGCAAGTTTCATTTCAGCGTGTCGCCATCTTGTTACATGGAGGGGTTAGGTGAAGGGTTAGCTAACATGCTAAGTAGTCGTCCATATTGTGTACAGTCTATGGTCTGTCCTATAGCTGAGAGATAAGAAAGATCAGGAAACTTTCTTTTTTTAAATTGTACACATAAAAAGAAAAAAAATAGGCACTAAACTACTTCCATATATACTTCCATTCATTTTTTAAACTGGTACTGGGCTACCTTCAGGCGAGTCTTGTGAGGCTTGAGGGCGTCCTAGAGAAAAACAACATGTACATGTTCATGAGAGAAACATTGCATGCACAGTTTGGATACTCTAGGAAGTGACGTTGCAGGCTCGGTTAGTGCTGCCCCCTCTCATGGAGTATCTCAATTTGAAGGCCTACCGAGGTACTGCAGACTCATTGGCAACTAAAATGTCCTTATAACTTTGTGTGTGGTTTTAAAGTAATCGGTTCAAGGACATACATCTGGTGAAATAGAAGCAATTATTGGTACCATGATTGTATACAACAACAAAAAAATCCACGAATATTAACAACGAAGATCGCCATTTCCCCATTCACTATAATCAGAGATCCAGTTTTCTGGAAACAATGCCTGCAGTACCGCAGTCGGCCTTCAACTTGAAATCCTCAATGTGAGGGGGCAGTCATCCTCCCCTGGGACAGACACTTCAAAACAAACTTCCTTTATATTAGACAATCCGTTTTCCCATGTATGAATATGTTATTCAATGCGTTTCTATGGGCTAATAGCAGTAAGTCCAAATGCAATGTTTCATCAAATTGTTTTATATTTTTTATATACCTAAAGTGGTCCTAAAATTCTAAATCCAATATCTAAATGGTCCTTAGTTTGACCATCTTAAAACAAATCCATATGTTAGCTTAGTATAGTAGACACGCTTTCCCTTCAAGTTCAACATTTATAAATACCAACCTTTGCAGGAAAACTGCCGCATTCGTCTTTTTTGTGCGCATGCACCTTTGATAAGTATTCCCTAAAGAAGACTGCCCAAAACGGTGTGCTATGGAGAGTTGTCGATGGCCTATTCTCCATGAGAAGCGATGAAACTAATAAGTAAGCTTCACATCAAACACTTCCTATCAAGTAGCCTATTTATTTGCAGGTTAAGTATCTACAGGTTGGACGAGGGTCGGCCATTATCTTGGCCAAATATTGCATACTCCTTATTGGGCTCCCGAGTGGCGCAGTGGTCTAGAATTTGTTCTTAACTGACTTGCCTAGTTAAATAAAAATAAAAGTGCCAGTCTTTCTGTTCAGGTATGTTTTTGTGAAAAGTTAGGGTTATGAGTTGATATATTAATTGATGATTTAAAGAGGTAGGCTAGGTAGTGCTGTTGAACCTCAAGTAGAAGTTACCTGACGTTAGGAATGAGAAGCTAACAAGTGATATTGATGCTTTTCCGTCACGTTCTGATTAGCCTGGCTGAAGCGCGACCCACGTGACTACACAGCGCGCTGGCTTCAGCCAGACTACTTTCTGATATCAATGAGGGCCAAACGCCATCTGGTGTTTGTACAATGAATTATCAACAAAGTCTTCATGGTAAAGCCCATCATATAAAGGCTGAGGCTACTTCATTTAGGATCTCTCAGCTCAATATCCATTAACAAATGCCTGTTTTAATAATGAATTAGCCCTAATGATAAAGGAGACTGTTTGATAGACCTAACAATATTAACATCTTTAAAGATTTCATACATCATAGCTTTATTCATATTCAAAATGCATTTTCAATGACTTGCAACAACCAAGGGTATGCCCGCCACACCTTGATCAAATCACTTCCAACTATAATGGCTTGGTAGCACAGGAGGTTGGCAGCACCTTAATTGGGGAGAATGGGCTCGTGGTAATGACTGGAGCGGAATCAATGGAATGGTATTACATTTACGTTTTAGTCATTTAGCAGACACTCTTATCCAGAGCGACTTACAGGAGCAATTAGGGTTAAGTGCCTTGCTCAAGGGCACATCGACATATTTTTC